ATTTTTTTTTATGTTTAAATCGAATAATGAACGATTCGCGGCAATTTAAGGCTTAACGTAATGACATTGTTAATAAGAGCTCAAGGTTTTCCACACAAGTTTAAACCTGACACAGGTCAAATGACGAAAATTATTATTATTATTATTATATTATAATTTTTAGAGAGTTAAACGGTGTGTGAAACATTTGAATCGGGTGAAAATTACAAATATACATATTTTGGGGAGGGAAAAAAATTACTCACGACCTAATTAATCGGATAAATGAGAAAAAATTTTACCTAAATGATTTTTTTTTTAAATACCCCCCCCCCATCATCATCATCATCATCATCATCATCATTGCGTTTTACTCAAATGAGACAATTTTTTTTTTTTTTTTTTTTTAGCTTAACCTTGATGATGGGTTTAGGTACAACAACAAAAAAAAGAAATATTTTGTTTAATTGTTTAGTATTATTATTTTTCTTTTTCCTGTGTGCGTATGTTATTTAAATTTACAATTCTTTTCCAAACAATAATAATAATAATAATAATAATAATAATAATAATAATAATAATACTTCTTTCTATTTCCACGTTTTTTTGTTTTGTTTCTCAAAACTTGTTGTTTTCTCGCATTTCGATCCACGTTGCTTTTTTCTGACGATGAACTGAATCTCATATAAGTTTTAAATTTCGTCGTTTTCATTTTGATTTTATTATTATTATTATTATTATTATTATTATGTCCACTATTAAACACGACAAGGCTCTTATTTGTCGGGGTTTTTAAGTATTTATCCCAGGTTTCTACCCGATTCCTTAGGGACAAATACTCGAATTTCGGTGGTGCTACTTATAATATTTTCCGAAGGATGTGGGCCGTCCCACATAGTGCGATTTCCTGGATGGTTTCTTCTTTTAGTTTCTTCATAATTTATTATTATTATTATTATTATTATTATTATTATTAATTATTTGTCGAAATATTTGTGCAAATATTGATTGGCAAAAAAAAAAAAAAAATTTTTTTTCGAGGGTTACGATTATGAAGTGAATTCGTCGATTGAATGCGTCACCACGCCACAAATCGTCGCGTGACAAAATCGTGGCGTATAAAAATTTTTGTGTCACGACACGAATTACAATCGCGAACGGAACAAACGCGCGACGACCGTATTTTTTAATTATTTATTTTTTTGGTTTGTTGTGCCTTAAAAAAATTAGAAGTAAATTCGTACGTGAGCCAAAGTTTAACAAAAAAAAACAA